CGGTCGCCGGGAAGCGTCACCGGATACGGCATCCCCAGGATTTCGAGGTTCTTTGACAGCCAAATGTGGACGGAGGGATTCACGGTGGCGGGATCGCCGCTGGAGCATGCACGCCAAGATTATTCCGATTTCTGGTATGTATACTACTTACTATACGCCCCGCTGCATGCACCTGTCATTTCATTACTCAAATACACGAAAACCAGATTTTTATAAAAGAATATTAAACATTTTAATACAAATAGGCATAAATAATTCTTCTTTACAAGTTACTATATGTTCTATACTTTGACAAACATTTTCAGCTCAGGTTCGAACATATAATGACCACCCATTTATTGTCACCTTCCTCATAGAAAACAATTGGCAACCGGTCAACGGTTACCTTCTTTCAATTTTTATTCTAGAGATTAACATTGCCGGAATCTTAATCACTTGTTATTACTAACTTGATTTTGGGACTCAATGCACTAAAATGATTAGTTAGTGTGCTTAATTGAATGTTTCAAAAGTCCAGGAACCGAATTACACTCTCCTGTATAGTTTGAGGGTATATTTGTCTATATATATATATATATATATATTATTTGTTGAAATGATGATATATACATTGTTGCTTTGTTTGTTTCAGCTCTGTGGTTGAGGATTACCAAGCACAAATGAGGGATCTGGCTCAAAATTTAGCTGCTTTAATGTTTAAATAAATCATTAGGCCTATCTGTTGGTGAAGATGCGGAATGGTTGGACTCCAATGGACACAAGCATACCTACAGATGAATTGGTAGCCAATTTGCCCGGATCCAACCCGTGCAATGGGCTTTGCCCAACACACAGACACATCCCTTGTGACTTTGCTATACCAAACTAGCAACATTACAGGGCTTCAAGTGTACGGGCCAAATCTCAACTGGATTGACGTTGAGCCCAATTCCAACGCAATCGTGGTCAACCTCGGTGACCTGATGCAAATTATCTCCAATGGGATGTTCAAAAGCGTGTTACATCGGGCAATCGTGAGCAAGGCTCATCATCGCATCTCGGTCGCCTATTTCTTCGGTCCAAGTAAGAATGTGGAAATTGCACCATCACTTAAATTGATCAAGCCCACTGAGTTTCCGATGTATAGGCCTATATCATGGAATGCTTATCTTGATATTAAGTACAAATACTTTGGTAAGGCCTTGGAGATGATTGGCTTCAATTCAGATGTTGAAAAATCCAATGCCCTAGCAAGTGGAAGTGAGGCACCAGTGGGTAGCGAAGTATGTGTAGGAATAAAAGTGTAAGAAATAAAATGACAAATAGTGTCATTATGTTAATCGAGGCTTAGTTTTAGCCTCATTTTGTTCTTAAAACAAATGGTGACATATTAATATTAATTGTTTTTATTGGTGTTAATTTTTTTTTTAGTACTACTAACTATACTAGTATTTTACTTACTTATATAGTAGTAATTTAAGTAATTTTAACATTAAAGTTATTTTTTGTAAAAGTCATTAATTGTGAAAATTTTTAGTAATAATTTAAGTAAAAGTTATTCTTTGTATATGTATGAGGTTATTGCTCCGTACATGTCGTCGACCTGCACTATCCATCAGACAGAAGAAGCAAAGCATTGATCCCAGTTTCCGAAACCCGAGTATTCCGACGCTCAGAGGATCCAATTGCGGTCCGGTCGATATCATCGATATTTCTTTTATGCAAAATCTCCCCTGATTTCATGTTTTCACCCGCTTCGCCTTCAGATAGATTGACGGGCCGCTTCTCCGGTTAAGGTGACATCTCGCAATTTCGTAAGGAACTCTTCTCATTTCCCAGGTTTTATGATCTTCCGGGGGGTTTTTCGCTGTTATGTTTCTATTCTCTAATTTCTGCCACTCCTAATTCCTGCTCCCTGTCTTTTCATATACTTTTAGCATACATTTGACATTCCTGTAATCGTGAGTGTAAAAGTATTCACCTTTTTGTCATATTCGTCTTATGGGACTGGAGCTTGGTCACTTAAATCGAGCTTTTGATTATCTTCAAAAATCTTTTTTCTTTATTTGATGTTCTTGAGCTAAATTTTAAATTGTCAATGGCCAATCAACCTCACTCTTCCTTGGGGTACTCTGGCATCACCAAGGTACCCACTCACCTCTTCCGGATTCAATACTCAGCTCTCCTCCTTTCCCTTCAACATCTGGTCCAAGATTTCCTCCACCAATAGTACAACCTAACCAGGTTCCTTCTCCATCTATTAAGACCCCTAATCTACCTTCACCAGCCAATGGGATTAGAACTGGAAGCCCTGTTCCTCACCTGAGCACTCCACCTGGACCTCCCATGTTCTCCCCACCACTTCAACCTGCTGCTGTGCCTTTTCGAACATCTCCAGCCACTCCTCAGCCTGTTGTGTTCTCTTCAGGTTCATCCCTACCTGTGCCGTTAGTTGATTAAGCTATCACATGTTGTGCCAAGAAATTAGGCCAAACAATCAGCAAAAGACTAGGGAATACAAAGTTGAATAGGAAACAGAAAAGATGATCAAGTCTAGCCTAAAAAGGAGGAGCCCTAAACTGCCAGGACTCTTTATCTAACTTCCCGTGAATGCAGCTCGAACCACCTTCCGTAACCAAGCTCGGCTCAACCATTGTATTATTGTTCAGAGAGTCTCCTTTCAGCCCATATAAGGCTTGTGACGCGCAAATGAGTGAGTTGACGCGCACGGGGCCTTTAATTATTGTTGCGCCAGATTTTCAGCAACTTTGTAAATTGACATTGAATGTCTAATTGCAACCTAGTCCCATTGTAGACACTTGGGGTGACAATTGGTTACAAATATGAAACAATTTAATTAAAATTGACACCAATTAAATTGATCACACGGCCATCATGCCCATCCGAATATCCAACCTCAAAATTGGCTTGTATGAGCGCACTCACAGAATCTTGCAACCTCCTAGCTCTAGCCCGCGTTGTAGGACCATCCAAAACGTGTTGTGGATCTCTACTTTCATCAAAAATCGTTGTCCTCAACAAGACTTCTGGTGATAGAGAAGAATGGACAAATTCTACAGAATCTCCAAATGTTGTGTTTTCATCTTATAAGGTATTGAAACAGAAGAAACTAGCAAATGTTCTGAGTTTAGGGTTTGGTGCATTAGTTTCCCCAGGCAGGGAGGTATCTTTAGGTCCTCAAATAATCCAGCGTGATCCCATTCGCTGTCATAATTGTGGGGCCTATGCCAACCTTTATTGCAATATTTTACCTGGTTCTGGTCAGTGGCAGTGTGTAATTTGTCGTAATCTGAATGCAAGTGAAGGTCGGTATTTGGCTTCTAGCAAGGAGGAGCTTCGCAATCTGCCAGAACTGTCATCACCGTTAGTTGATTATGTCCAAACTGGGAATAAAAGACCTGGTTTTTTCCCAGTCTCAGATACTAGAGTGTCCGCACCAATTATTCTTGTTATAGATGAACCACACCTGCAGCATCTACAAAGCTCCTTGCATGCTTTTGTAGATTCACTACCCCCAACAACAAGACTTGGAATTATTGTGTATGGTCGCACAGTACGTGTCAGTCTATGATTTCTCAGAAGAATCAATGGCATCTGCTGATGTACTTCCTGGTAACAGATCACCATCTCAGGAATCTCTAAAAGCATTGATCTATGGAACAGGGATATACCTTTCACCTATGCATGCTTCGCTTCCTGTTGCACACTCAATATTCTCATCTCTGAGGCCATATAAACTTAATATTCCAGAGGGTTCTAGAGATCGCTGTCTGGGTACTGCAGTGGAAGTTGCTCTAGCAATAATTCAAGGGCCTTCAGCAGAAATGTCAAGGGGGCCGGGGTTGTTAAAAGACCTGGAGGAAACAGTAGGATAATTGTCTGTGCTGGGGGACCAAATACATGTGGGCCTGGTTCAGTTCCTTATTCTTTTTCTCATCCAAACTATCCCCATATGGAGAAAACAGCATTCAAGTGGATGGAAAATCTAGGTCGTGAGGCGCACAGGCATAGTACAGTCATTGACATATTATGTGCTGGTACATGTCCAGTTCGGGTACCTGTTCTGCAACCTCTTGCAAAAGCTTCTGGTGGTGTTCTGATTCTCCATGATGACTTTGGAGAGGCATTTGGTGTGAACTTACAGAGAGCATCTGGCAGGGCTGCAGGTTCTCATGGTTTGCTGGAGATCCGTTGTTCTGATGATATTTTTATAAGTCAAGTAATAGGTCCTGGTGAGGAGTCACATGTAGACAACCATGAAAGTTTTAAGAGTGACAGCGCACTTTCCATTCAGATGCTTAGTGTTGAAGAGACACAGAGCTTGGCATTATGCATGGAAACCAAGAGAGATATCAAGAGTGATTTTGTGTATTTTCAGTTTGCATTTCACTTTTCAGATGTTTACCAATCCGATATCTCCAGAGTGATCAGCGCAAGATTGCCTACAGTGGATAGCATTTCGGCCTATCTTGCAAGTGTTCAAGATGAAGTGGCTGCTGTTCTTATTGCCAAGGATGCACTTGATATGCAAGGAACAGTAGACGAAAGAATTAAAGATATTGCCATCAAGTTTGGTTCTCAAATGCCCAAATCTAAGCTTTATCAGTTCCCCAAGGAGCTCTCCTTCTTGCCAGAGCTCTTATTCCATCTTAGAAGAGGCCCACTTCTTGGTCATGAAGATGAGAGCTGTTGTTCTCGATCATGGCACCGATGTCTTCATTTGGTTGGGTGCTGAACTGGATGCTCAGGATGGAAAGGGTGCTGCAGCGTTGGCAGCTTGTAGAACATTAGCTGAAGAGCTGACTGAAATGAGGTTTCCAGCCCCACGCGTCCTGGCATTCTCGGCTGATAGCAGCACACAAAGATCCTCCCTATGAACAGGAGGCAAGATTTCCACGTACAGCTTCGAACACTGACAACAGAACAGAGGACAAAACTGAAAAGCAGCTTCCTTCACTTTGATGATCCTAGCTTCTGTGAATGGATGCGGAGTTTGAACCAAGCTAGGTGGGCTGCATAATCAAAATTCCCGGACGAGTGGTGAAAATCTCAAAGAGGAATTAAGTTGGGCCATGCTTTTGTCTTAAGTCTCCATCTCTCAAGAACTTTTTCCCCTCCTAGTCTGACTATTTTGCATGCAAATTGCAGTGCTCACAGAGATTATATTGCAGTCCCCGCTCCCTCAGAACTGTAGTTCTTTTTTTTGAGGTGATTGATACCTGATGTACCTTGTTGCATTGGTTTTGTATTTACACAATTAGCTTGTAAAAAAAAAAAAAAAAAAAAAAAAAAGGTAAGGCATGTATAACATCATTTAAAATTTAATTAAAATTATAAATTATTGAACACTTCATAATAAACAACATTTGAAATTGAGATACAATTCGTTCCACCTTCATTGCAAATCAAAATCTTTAAAACACTCGGGCTGCTAACTCTTGAAGCAAGCAACGTATAATTGATCATGTACAAACACTGATTTTTTGAGCAATGCAACATGAGATAGCGTATGGCCTTAATTTTTCTTAATAGTCATTGTATACGACAACATATGCAGAAACTACTTTCTCTTGAACTAATTACAAAATAATCAAACAAATTAACAATAGACTGTAGTTGTGCGATGTACGAATAAAAGTTTATAAGTATTTTTATAATGCTATGATATTAAGCAAAATAAATTTTATTAAATACAATGTAATATTTAATATCTTTAAATTTTTTTAATAGACGATAAATACAAGGATTTTCTTCCAAGAATCAGTAGTTTCAAAGCACAACTAGTGTTCGTCTGGGCTACATCTGTGTTTCCTATGTTAGATTGTTACTATTGTTTTTTGTTCTAACCGTGATTTTGCAGATGTCGCCAGCGTATGTACTTAGAAGACCTCTCAGTCATTTTATCAAATCCAGTTGAGTCTACAACCATCTTTGACATTAATCGGTTGTTTGAACATGATAACCAATTTAATTCTTAAAATTTGGATTTTTTTCAGTAAGATTTTAACATGCATGTCTGTATGCTGCATTTATAACCAATTTAATTCTTTATATTGTGAAGTTTTATAATCACCGAAGCTTGACAAAGTATGTACTATGTCATTTTTAGAAAAAAAAAAAAGATAATCACCGAAGCTTGACAAAGTATGTACTATGTCATTTTTAGAAACAAAAAAAGATAGATAGATCAGGAGAGTAAATTCTTTATTTATACTCGATACAGTTTAAATAAAGATAACACTTCCAGTTCTATTTATACTAATTTCTCATGTGGACAGACTATTGTAAATGTGAACTTCGCTGGAATCTAACTATAAAATGAGGAATACACTACATCTTTCAACAAAACATACATACATATATTTATTTAGATTTGGATACCTTGTTTGATTTTCATTTTTCCAGAATTCGATTCATTTTCACAAAAGAGAGTGAGCTTTACTAAATCTACAGCCCCACTTTGCCGCGGCTGCCATATGTCATCAACTCAGCTCTCTGTAAAAAGGCCATCTTTGGAATTGTTCCCAATTCTAAACCTCAACACACCTTAATCTGCTTTCAAACGTCTTCTTCCTCTTCTTGGATGCTTTTCAAATCTTCTTTGAAAGCTCTAGAAACATCGGGCCAATCTTCTCCAGCAGCGCTTTTCCAAATGTACTTTGAAAGCTCAAAAACTCCCCTGCGCTTTCTAAAATCTTCCCCTGCAGCCTCACGCTACATAGTTATGCCAGACCAAATAACGTGTCTTTAGAAGTTCGTTCTACGATTTTTTTGGAATGAATCTGATATGATCTGAAGCATTACTATAGTGGAAGTGTTTGTATTTGACACAAAGTGATGTACTTATAAGTAAGTTTAATAATTCTTTGTATATTTACGAAACGATTGAATACCAACCGTTGTATTGGAAATGCCAAACGGCTAAGCATTATCATATCTAATTACCTCAAATAAAGTACTTCGGGCATATCAACAATTTCTGACATTTAATATTTTTGCCTTATCTAAATGACTGCATTTTGGCACAAGTTGTTGGGCGGGAAGTTTTTTCCATTTTTATTTTCCAATTCGACTACCCAAGCTATACGACGCCGTTTCGTTGTGGGCGGGAACTTTGGCCAAAAAATGCATTAACTGCTTTTTATTGCTATTTTATAATAGAGATAGAGATTACAATATAGTATATGCTCATAGTTACGTTTTCAAATTATTAAAGTACAAAGAGTCAATACTGACCTACTAAGGTTCAAACTCATGACTTTTCAATTGGGAGAGCTATTTTATGCCACTAGACTACAATGACATTGACGGTATTAATATTAATGTAACCCAAATTGGACATAATTAATCATTATTTCATGGACCATGGTCCACACAATTGTGTGGACCATAAATAAAAAAATATATTTTTAATATACTAATGGTACATTATATATGTATGTAAGGTATATTTTTTTAAAGTACATTTTTAATATACTAAGAGTACATTATTTTATATAATAATGTACATTCAGTACAAAAATAATATACTTTTAATATATTAAAAATGTACCTGATATTCACGGTCCACACAATAATTTGCCGGTCATAATATTAATGTAATCCAAATTGGTCAAATATTAATGCAGTCGTTATATCGTGGACCGCGGTAAAAAACGGTGCCGTTTTTTTAATTAAAGAAACGGCACGTCGTTACCATTAACAGAGTGTGTATTAATTACCAACTGAAACTACAGTGTATCTAAACGGACACTGCCTCACGTGTTATTTTTATATTATCAAGTGAAACTGCAATTGAAATGAAATGAAACTGTAGTTGTATTGAAATGAAACTGCAGTGTATACAAAATGAAACTGAATAACAATTTCACATATTTGAGTGTATGTTACCCAGCGAAACTGTAGTTATATCAAAATGATACTGCAGTTGTGTTGAAATGAAACTATAATGTATATAAAATGAAACTGAATAACATTTCACATATTTGAGTATATATTGTGCAATGAATCTGTAGTTATATCGAAATAATCATGTAGTTGTGTTTTAATGAAACAATAGTGTATATAAAATAAAATTAAAGAACATTTTCACATATTTGAGTGTATAAATATCGAATGAAACTCTAGTTGTGTTGAACTGAAACTGCAGTGTATACAAAATGAAATTGAATAACAGAGTTACTTTTTGCGGAACAGCGGGAAACAGACACTGTTTCTTTCATTAAACAAAACAACGTTGTTTTGAAGCTCAGTGCATAATCAATTATGCACCGTGGTGCACAATACAATTTGCCATATTAATGTAACCCAAATTGCCCAGACCCAACGCCCGTAATGGGCTTGGCCCAACACACAGACTCGTCCCTTTTAACTTTACTGTACCAATGCCAATAGTTATGCTGTGCAACCGAATGCACCATGCGCATGGTGCATACGATGCAAAAACGACGTCGTTTTGACTAAAAACGCGCGTCCCACTTAAAAAATAAATCAGGTTTGATTCTCGGCAATAGCATTATTGTGGATATATAGTTATGAATTTCTAGATATATAGTTATAATTTATGGATATTTAGTTCATTCATTGTGGATATTTAGTTCATTCATTGTAGATATTTACTTCATTCATTCACTATGGATATATAGTTATGAATTTATGGATATTTAGTTCATTCATTATTGTGGATATTTAGTTCAATCATTGTGGATATTTAGTTCATTCATTGGGGATATTTAGTTCATTCATTATAGATTTTTACTTCATTCATTCACTGTGGATATATAGTTATGAATTTGTGGATATATAGTTATGAATTTATGGATATATAGTTATAAATTTATGGATATATAAAAATGCTATTGCCGGGAATCGAACCTGATTTCTTTTGTATATTTTGTATTTTTCTTCTTTCGTCTTCGTATTATAATTTTTTTCGTATTTTTTTCCCCTAAACGTATAGGCATGCTCTGCGTTTTTCGCTTCTCGTTTCTCCAATACCAAACTCCGCAAAACAGGCCTATACAGAGCAGGCCTGATCAGAGAAACGAGAAGCGAAAAAACGCAGAGCATGCCTAATAGTTTAGGAAAAAAAGAAAAATATGAAGAAAAAAATATGAATGCGAAAGAAAAAAAATAACAAAAAAACTAATAAAAAATTTGATGCCAGCAATATTATTACCGGTAACCTATAGAAAACCTGTAAAAAGTTCTAGACGAAAAAAAAATTATGGTTTATGATTCTAAATATCACGTATTAAAGATCATGGTGCAAAATGAATAATCAGGAATTGTTCATGATGCGGCATGACACCTCATTGAACAACACAAATTCATGTATTTTAACCTAAAATGACATGTTGACATGATAATATGTTGATGTGGCGGTTACTGAATTTAAAAATATATTTTAAAATATAAAATAAAATAATTAATAATTAAAAAAAAAAAAAAAAAAAAAAAAAAAAAAAAAAACCACCCTATCCGGCTATCCCTGCGTTCGTCTCCGACCCTAGAGAAAGAATTCTAAGCGCGCCCTTTTCCTCTCCGTGTTCCTCGTCTTCGTCGCCATTCCCCTCTCATTCTCTGCCGCTCCAAAATCCCACATTTTCTCAGGTTCTATTTCCAAAATTCAAAAACCCTTTGTAGTTAATTAATTAGTTGTTTTGGGTTTCAAAGTGTATATCTTTTGGAGAGGTCGGTTAAGGTTCAAGACTTCAAGGTCAAAACAACTAATTAATTGTCTCCATTTCTTCGTTTCCAGCCATGACTAGATCACAGTTGTTTTCAATTTATTGTCTCCAATCTCTTCGTCTCCCGCCATGACTAGAGCCATATGTGAGGGTGAAGATAGGTACAGATGTTTCCAATTTCTTGTCTCCTGTCTCTTCGTCTCCCGCGCGCCATGAAGGTCTATTCGTCTCCGGCCCGGAGACGAAGGCAGACAAATTATGTTGTGGAACCGTGTTCATTTAAAACTGGAAAAAATTATGAATATTTAGTTCAAAAAATTATGAATATTTAGCTCGATCTATAATTATGAATATAGAGTTGTGAACATATAGTTATGTAATTATGAATATAGGGATTCAATAATTGTGAATCTGAAGTTCAAAAATTATGAATATATAGTTTTATAATTATGAACATAGAGTTTTGAAATTGTGAATATAAAGTTTAATAATTATGATAATAATGAAGTTCAAAAATTATGAATAGGAAAAATTGTAAAAAATGTCTCTCTATAATATGCCAATTATCAATGTCACCCCTGAATTATGAGTAGTGTAAATGTTGCCACTCAATTATCAAAACGGTGCACATATAGCCCCTCTCGTAACGGACATGTGGTTCCCTGTTAGTGTACGACACCGTTAAGTCGGAGTAAATATGTAATTTAGTTATTTTTTCCCTCCTTCGATTCGAAGTACCATCGATGGACAGCGGTGGGGAACCATAGGTCCGTTACGGGAGGGGCTATATGTGCACCATTTTGATAATTGAGAGGCAACATTTGCACCACTCATAATTTAGGGGTGACATTGATAATTGTCATATTATAGATGAGAATTTTTTACAATTTTCCCTTATGAATATATATCTTTATAATTATGAACATATAATTCAGTAATTATGAATAAAGAATCGTGTCCACCTTGCAAGGTGGACATGGTTCCACAGCATAACGATTGATGAAAGAGCCACTTTGTACCACTAGACCACAAGGTTATTGACTTGAATTTTTTATTATATTTTAATAGAATATATATTTTCATTTTGTATGAATTTGATTACAATTAAATTAATATGTAACTATTTTCTCTCTCTAAAAAGGATACCTATATATATATATATATATATATATATATATATATATATATATATATATATAGTGATGAAAAATAATATACCAAAATAGAAATGTGATATTATGTGATTTATTTTGTTTTTATTGTATAATAAAGCTTCATTTTTCCCGTTTCGAGTGAGATTCGAAAGGTCATACTGCAGTCTATTCTAAGCCTTTGGGGCAAGAAATTTTTATTCTATTTTGATAGAATGTATATTTTTCGTTACTGTAACTGACATACGCAATGATAAGATATCACATTTAATTTGTTCAATAATTAACTTGTACCAAAAAAAAAAAAAAATCTCACACAAAAATTAAAGTAAGAATCTAGATAATTTGAATAAGAGAATAATTAGTCAATACATCACATGTTTCTTTTTGGTGCTTCTATAATTAACTTGTATTCAGACATTCAGTGCTTCTATAATTTCAACTGTAATTATTCTCTTTATTATAATTTTATTCGTATTATTTTGTTTTTGTTTGCAAAAAAAAAAAAAAAAAAAAAAAACTGAAAAGTAAAAAAAAAAAAAATTAACATAATTATGTTATGGTAATTTATAGATGTTCTAAAAAATATAGTAACTCACATCTTATAATATTAAGTTGAACGCTGTATATATAATTATCAAATTTGGGACAAAAAATTTCAGTTACCATAATAAAAATATCTATATATAATTATATATATTAATTTAGATGCTCTCTAAAAAAAATACCGTAATTAACATCTTATAATATTAAGTTATAATATTCAATAATTTTATCTATTATTTTTTTTTAAGCAAATGAGAGGTACACCCAAAATCATTGGGTGATCCTCACTATATTCTTCTCTCCAAGGAGACCAAGCTCATCCTCTCGAATATGTCTCTGGAATTCAGCATCTTTGTTCCTTAGGACTCCTCCACACGCTGCATGACCGTCTGCTTGGATGCACCCATCGGTATTTATTTTAATCCAGCCTACGTCCGAAGGTTTCCTAGGTTGTCTTCTCTTGCCTTCGCTTCTCTGTTTTCCTTCGCTACCTGAGCTTCTTTCCAACATAGCTTCGATTTCTCTGAACTGGTGGTGCAGCCATTCAATCTTCTCAGCAGTATCTTTCCGATCGTGTACCATTGAAAACATGGTGGTTTCTCCACTTCCAAATCCACCAGGCTATAATGGCGAATCTGGCACATTTCCGCTTTCGTTGATGACCTCCCCCAGTCCCTGCCAAGTTCTTTGTCAGCCAACGATTAAAACTCATTGAGAAGAACGTACCTGGTTGTTCCGCCGGGTATGTCCTCGTCCAGACTTCCTTAGCTGCCGGGCAGTTTCGGATGACATGCTCCACATCTTCTCTCTCTGCCCCGCATATGCTGCACCTTTCATCAGCTGTGATGGTTCCTTAGAGGCTCATCTCCGATCCAGAAGCGAGTGCTCCGTCCATTCCTCACCACCGTCCTGACTCCTTTCTCAAGGATAGGCGCGGCGGCACAGATTCCTTTCCAAGTGTTGGAGTCGCATCTTTTGCGTTTCATGTTAGCAATGTTAGTTGTTGCCAGTCTTCATGTACTTACATGCAATGCCTTCTCCGTCGTGACCCGCCAGCCAAGTTTAGCCACGAGGGCTAGGTTCATGTTCCTCATATTTATAAGCCCAAGACCTCCATCCTTTTTTGCATGCGTGACCGTCTCCCAATTAATGAGGCTCGTTTTTCTTTTTGTGAAATCTCCACCCCAAAGCAATTGCCTCGTGATTTTGTCAATTTCATCGCAAACCCCTTTCGAGACTAACATAGTTTGCATGAAATATGATGGGATGGCGTTAAGAACAGATTGGGCCAAAACTTGCCTCCCTGCTAGACTCAAGAAACGAGTCATCCACCCTTCAAGAATATTATATAATATATTGTATACATATATAATTTGAGTGTTTATGATATTTACATAATAAAATATAGAAGATTATAATATATATATATATATATATATATATATATATATATTAATTTGACAATTTATAATATTTACATAATAAAATTTATTCTATCTATATATTATAATTTTAATTATAATTAGAATAAATTGTAAAGGGAAATTTGTAAAGAGTAATGTTATTCACTCCTAGAATATGGCACTGTTTAATTGGTTGCATTATGCTAAGGATCTTGTGGTCTAGTGGCACCAAGTTGCTTTCCCCATATGAGAGGGTGCATGGAGGAATTATTATTTAATTTAAGAGTTAATTATCAAAATGGTCCCTTGACTATAGCGAAATAACCAATTTGGTCCTTGATTATTTTTTTTAACCAATTAAGTCCCTCAACTTTAAAAAATTTAACCAACTTGGTCCTCCGTTTGTTTGACCGTTAGTCAACCGTTAACTTGAGACCAAATTGGTAATTTCACTATAGTCAAGGGACCATTTTGATAATTAACTTTAGGGGTGAGCAACTCGGTTTAGTTTTCTCGAATTGAACCGTGTCGAACCAAACCGAACTAGTTTGGTTCGGTAATATACCGAACAACCGAACAGTATTAGACTTTTATATACCGAACGGTTCGGTTCGAGAAAACTTAACCGAATTGCCCATCCTTAAAGTTAATTACCAAAATGGCCCCTTGACTATAGCGAATTACCAATTTGGTCCCAAGTTAACGGTTGACTAACGGTCAAACAAACGGAGGACCAAATTGGTTAAGATTTTTAAAGTTGAGGGACTTAATTGGTCAAAAAAAATAGTCAAGGACTAAATTGGTAATTTCGCTATAGTCAACGGACCATTTCGGTAATTAACTCTTAATTTAATAAGAGTAAAATAAAGTGTTATTTATGCCAACTTTGATTGGGTGGGGTTTGGACTCAAGACCTTTCTTATTGAAATCAATGAGTAAGTTAACGGTGAACTAACAGAAATTAACGGAGAAGATAATATTTAGCGGAAAAGTTAACAGATAATCATATAATTAAGGATAAATTAGAAAATCGCAAGGAAAAATTAAAATATGATCAATCTGAGCCATTCATTTGATTAAAAAATTTGACCGTCATTTTTTCTACTTATTATTGTTAGACGACCTAAGTCTCTTGGGCTCTTATTAATATAGTAGATATAATTTAAGAACGTAACTGAAAGAAATATATAAAATAGAATTAAAAAAAAAAAAAACAAAAGTTAATGTAAGAAATATCTTTATTTGAAAAACGTCCATAATTTAAGGACATAACGGAAAGAAAGAGAAAAATGTGATGGGGAAGAATATATATATATAATTTGCCCTTCATTATAGTAATCCAAATTGCAAATGGCAGTAGTGACAAGTAGTGAGCAATTGCAACTAAACTACCCAAGAAACTCATTTCTTACGCTCATCATCACCTCTTCATAAATACTCGCCGGCTCGCCGCATGCAAGCTGTGACATATTGCCCTCTTTCCTCAACCCCTCCGCCAACTTTTTCTCCCGCTTTCAAAGTAACCATGAACGCAGAGCTGGATCATCTCGTCCCCATGGATTTCAAAAACGCCGTTCAAGTTCCCGATACCCACACCTGGGTCGACTCCCCCTGCATCAACGACTCTTCTTCAAGCGACGAATTTGTTCCGTTGATTGATCTTGAGGACCCGCAAGCGGTGGAGAAAATAAAAATGGCTTGTGAAAATTGGGGTGTTTTTCAGGTGAGCAACCACGGCGTTCCAGTGGAGCTTCTTGGTGAAATTGAGCATCAGGCTCGCCGATTCTTTGCATTGCCGAGGGAGCAGAAGCTCCTCACTCTGCGCTCGCCGGACAGCCCCACCGGCTACGGCATCATCCCCATTTCACGCATTTTTAACAGTCTCATGTGGATGGAAGGATTCACCATGTCGGGAACGCCAGTGGAGCATGCACGCCGGGTTTGGCCTCAAGATTACTCTCCTTTCTGGTATTAATGCACCTCATTTTTTTTTTTTTAAATACTCATAATTCGTACGTTAAGTGTTACATATCTGAATTGTGTCTTCTGCACTATTGAATTATTGAAACAAAATGTCATCATGCGTCGTCACGTGTGTGGGGCTAATTATTTTTTGAGAATAAAGATCAAATAGGTCATCGAACTAATAATGCAATTTGGCCAGTAAACATAAAAATCTTACAATTGAATTTCTAAACTAACCAATTTCATGCAATTTCTTTCAATTTGTATGTTTATAACAGGTTAACCCAAATTTAAAATATTTTTTTTAAAAATAAGTATTTAAAATAAAAAATAAAATAAGCATGACCACGTCTCCGAAACCTTCGTCTCCATACGAAGAATGTTTCTTCATCTCTGGCCGGAGACGAAGAATGTTTCTTCGTCTCTGCAGGTCAGGGACGAAAAAGGTTTCTTCTTCTCCGGCAAGAGATGAAGTTCTTTAAAAAAAAAAAATTAGTTAAAAAAAATTATTTTAAATTTAGGGTGACCTCCTGCGAAGGGGATGAATTGCATGAAATTTGTTACTTTAGGGATTTAGTTGTAGGTGGTTTATGTTTAGTGGCTTAATTGCATCATCTTGTGTAGTTCGATAGTCTATTTGACTCTTATTCATTATTCTTAGATAGCAACTATGATCGATTGTTTATATGGTAAATGTGTTCTGGCCTCTGTCTCAATTAAAAATCATACTTCAACTATATGTTTATGTTTATATATATTACGAGTATATATACTCAACAAGATGAATATAAAGCGTAATAAATTTTTTTCTTTTGTTTTCATATGTTGAAACGATGATATTTACATTGCTGCTTTGTTTGTTTCAGCACTGCGATTGATGATTACCAAGAACAAATGATGGGCCTGGCTGTAAAGATAACTTCTTTAATATTCAAATCATTGGGCCTATCTGATGAAGATGTGGAATGGTTTAACCGCAAAAGCACCGAAGCATTCCTACATTTGAACTCGTACCCGAAATGCCCAGACCCAACCCGCGCATTGGGCATGGTCGCGCACACAGACTCATCTCTTATAACTTTACTATACCAAAGCAACACCAATAAAGGCCTCCAAGTGATTGGGCCCAATCACAAATGGGTCGACGTCGAGCCCATTGCCGATGCAATTGTCGTCAACGTCAGCGACTTGTTGCAGATAACCTCTAATGGACGGTTCAAAAGCGTGACACATCGGGCCATTGTGAGCGAGACCCATCATCGCATCTCCATCCCCTTTTTCTTCGGCCCAAAGATTGATGTTAACATTTCATCGCCACTTAAATTGATCAAGGCCGGTGATTTTCCCATGTATCGGCCCATATCATGGAAGGAGTACCGTGAGATTAAGGGTGTGCACTTTGACAAGGCCTTGGAGGCGGTTCGTTTCAATTCAGTCGTCGTTGAAAAAGACAATGCCCAATCGACTGGTAATGAGGCATCACTTGGTGGCAAAGTGGAAGCTTTAGAAGTGTAGAAATTTGTTTTGTTAAGCGTTCTGCTAATGGTGTGGCTCACTTATTAACTAGGGATGTTAGTTTGTTGTCAGGTTGTTGGGTTTGGTTTAATTCTAGTTCTTTCTTTGTTCGTCATGTGTTGTGTAATGACTTAAGGAATATATAAAGTTTATTGTGGTTTTGTTTGTCATGTGTTGTCGGGTTTGGTTTGATTCTGCTTAACTTTTGAAATAAGATTAAGATTAAACATGATGGTGCTAATATATTTGGGTAACTCAACTGGCATTAACTCTATTATGTTTCTCAATACAATATACTACATCATAGCCCAATATTTGGTTCTCATCAAAGCTTTACATATTGGCTCTGTTTGGCAAACCTAACTGAAAAGCTATAAGCTAGGAGCTGATATCTGAAAGCTGAAAAGCTATAAGCTCGGAGCTGAAAACTGAAGAGCTGTTAAGCTAGCTGTTATGATTGAAAGTGTTTGGTAAAATTAGCTTTTTGATAAGCTAAAAAGGACATCTTCATAAAATTTAAATTAGTATTATTATTGTATATGTAAAATTGTTAAAAACTTGTAAATTTTATTTCTAAGTTATATGGCGTGCAATCGTATTTTGTTTCTTTTAAATAATTTAAATTTTTTGGTATATAAATATACTCCATCCATCCCATTTTACTTGTCTTACTTTCCTTTTTTGTCCGTTCCAAAATAATGTCCACTTTCTTAAAATAAAAACACGGAGTATATGTTAAGTTTATATAGGACCTATTTTTTTGACGGAAAATACTTGGTGGATTCCCATTTTATACTCTCAACTTTTACTCTCATTTAGACACTTTTATGTGGACACACATGATGAAAATAACCAATTATTGTTTTTCGGGCCAATAAAATGATAGAACCGGATCTATCGAAACCATCACAAATTTGAGACTGAACTTTAAAGCTACGTCCGCCACTGCTGACTTTCAATCATTATTACATGGACCATGGTCCACACAATTGTATGGAGCATAAATAAAAAGTACATTTTTAATATATTAAGGGTACATTATTTTATATAATGTACCAGTAGTACAAAAATAATGCACATTTAGTACAAAAATAATGTACTATTAATATATTAAAAATGTATAGAATATTTATGGTCTACACAATTATGTGGACCATGGTCCACACAATAGTTTGTCGTCGACTTTGGTGTGGACTGCCATGACTCCAGCTACCACTGCCTTGTTGCATGATTTCAAAAAAGGAAAATTGTAATTTATGTTGGGAAAATGCAAGTGTGTGGCCAGTATTTTACTGATAACTTAGTCTTGGTCCACTATTCACCACAAGGTGGTGAATGGCCAAGATTTGTTAGGCAGTATATGGTCCTAATTATTTGGCCTTTTACTATTTAAATGGGGTATTCTTGAGTTCAGACACACAAACAAACATTGTCTTGTTGTCTTTATTGTCCCCTTTCCACTCTGAGAATGTTGTGTATGTTCCAATCCCTGCTCCGAGTGCACGGAGATGGGGATTGCTGTGTTAACCTTCGGGGGCAACGCCGTTGTTGTGAGCCTGCACCGGTAGCGGCGAATTCGCTTCTATGGCAGTGGTTATACCACGGCACAGCAGTTATTGAGTTTTCACTTTATCAGCATATTTCTCCATCAATATAGAAGCGAATTCAATTAGTGCTGATAATAGTGAATGAGGAACCAAACCAAAATTGAGAACATCATCCCTGTTGCTCATCATGCGAATGCCAAGGTGGTCTCGACTTTTCTAACCAGGGCATCTATCGCGTACGATGTTGTGGATGTGAAGGGCATGGATATTCACGTTATTGACGAACTAAAAGGTGATGCTGGCTCATTCGTTGGTGTGGATAATCGAAGGCAACGTTTATTCCATTGCTAACAAAGCTAAGTATACTTATGAACTCATGCATTTGTTTGTACTTCTTAAATGGTGTCTGCATGGATATGTTATATATATCTATGAATGCCTGCATATGCTACGCTGTACTTTCCAGATTTCCAATACAGTTTTAGCCGTAATTAAATGAGAGTTTGAAGACCAACGCTACAGTGAAGCCATAACCGGTGAACGTTGATGTCAGGTTATGTTGTGGGTGATGATCACGTTGCTTAACAGACTTGGTGTACAGAGACGCCAATGGCGAGCCGGGAAGAGCAGATCCGAATCTGAATTTAATTTCCCAACTTTCTGATCCGTAATGTTGACGAAGCCCAAGTTCCCAAGCGCATTGCTGTTGATCTCGTCGGCCAGCTAGTTCGGGAGAGGTAGTCATCGATGAACTGGTTGTATTCCGGGTGACCTTCGAGAATGGTGGTGACGTTGTGGGCGGCGGTAACGGCTGTGGAAACTGTTGAATAAATGCAGTCAATATTTCTTGTGAAACGGATAGGAGGAGGTGGCAAAGTGAACCAGGGCGCTTGCTGCGGATGAGTTGAATGATCCTGCTGCTACTGGAGAGATTCTGACCATTTGAAACTTAAATTTTAGGGTCAACTTGATGATGCATGGTTTCGGTACTTTGCAGTATGCAGTATCATATCCTGGCAGCACGATTGAAGCTAAGTATATATGGGTCTAATGCATCCTCCTTAATTAAGCTAAGTATTATGCAAGCTTTTTAATTTAAATATTATTACTCTTTCAAGGTATAAGGATCTTTACACCTTGATAAAATTATCAATACTAGTTCCTTAATCCTTATGGAGTAAAAGTGCTATGTTTACATGCAGTATGATCTAAGCAAGTTCTGCCCTTATAACACCAATTTGTTTGATCAATACACAAAGTTGTGAATCTATGGGCCTGATCTATGGAGGATATTAGGCAAAACTTGATGACTTTTTTCCAGTTGGTGCAAGCCTCCATAGCTGCATGACTCCCCAGGGTCCCGACGCCAAAACATACGAGGAGATTTGTATAACTAAGAAGTGATACATGCATGTAAGGTTGCTATTGCTATTTTTTCAGAATGTTTCACGACTCAGTTCCGGCCTATTACATTTTTAAGGTAATGCTTTATATATCACATATACCTCTTTAATTTATGTGGTTTTACGCACTTGGAATATAATTATGGTGATATATGTAAGGTGCGTGAAAATAAAGCATTATAGTGATTTTGTGATTTTTGTTTTCAAATGAAAAATCACATGTTATTTAAATTAACATGCAATGAATTGAGAATATGAGATGCATATATGTTATTGTTTCATTACCTTAGAAATATGAAGCATGTACTCAATTTAATTGTATAATGGTTACAAGCACATATCAAAGGCTAGTTTAAATTGTTGAAATTTATTTGTACATGGAAGAGTCATATTCTCAATAAAGCTTAGATCATTTTTGAAAGATGGTTTTTAGGTAAACTTCGGTTTCACCATTAGACTTGAGAGGGTGTTGATCATGTAGAGCGCTACTTGATTCTCACTTAAAATGAGATTGACTTTCACATGATGTTAAAATATCTAAGCCTTGCAAATATATATTGCTTAAGTGATTTAATAACAGCATTGATTTAAATTATCATGTTATAAATAACTACGGGTTATTTGTCCTTTTGAGAATAAATATGAAATTTGTATTGATTTGCATTACATCAATGCTATATATGAGTTATTAATTTTCTCAAGTGGGAAAATTGTGAAGGTGAAATAACTTTGAATGATAAAGTTATATATGTTGAATTTCACCTTGTTGAAATTTATGTAGATATAAATCATTCTCTAATAAATGTCAGTTTAAATATAATTTTTGAATATGAGATTTAATTTTCTCAAAAAAAAAAAATTATGTGAAATTTATGAAGCAACATGCAAACAATATTATCTATGTGGCTTACTGGCAATGAGCAATTATACATATGATTTAAAGTATTAATTGAGTCGGTTTCAAGACCTAGGATTCCTATATAAAGGGAAATCTTAGTGGTTTGAGGTAACTATTTTAGTTGAAATATAATCCACTACTGAATGTGTATTAACCAAGTGCAGAGTTGTTATAAAAGTCTGGGTAGCTCAGTCTTCTAAGGAGCCAATGTTGGGCGCCTAAAATAAATCTGGGTAAGAAATAAAATACTTTTGAGAAAAGTATTTGTAAGTGTTGCATTGTGGGGGTAATTAAATCCTTATATATTTCTTTCCTATAAGTCTCTTTGTGGTACCGAAAATAATGGTAAAAAGAGAATATATTTCATGTTGAACATGAAAATTTCAAGGGAGTTATTTGTGAGTAAATAAAGTACACGTTAAAGTGTACGTAAGTTTGATCGAGAGGATCAACTTACTTTAATAAAGAGGACTAATTATGAGGTTAGTTGTTAAGTTATTGATGAAATGACTCAAAGCCCAAGAGGTGATGAATTCGTGGTGGATCCCACTTTTGTGGTCAAACGAAGCCATGGAAAGAATCACAAAGTAGTACACTAATTGGTCATTCTTATGATGTGTGTACTAGTGAGGTTGAGCTACAGCTCTTAATGAATTTATAACCTATGAGATGGGTAGTCCTATTGAGAGGACCTAATGAATTCACCGCTTGATAATTGAGAGGGTGAGCATAAAATGCTCTTAATGATTTCATACTCTAAATTGGGTAGTCTATATTGAGATAGACTTAATGAGATCACCTACTTGAGTGAAAAGGGTTAGCCGCCTTTTATGAAAGATAATGGGCTATCTTTCTAGAGCACTCATGAGCAACCCAAAGTTCAGTTGGGATAAATATATATGTAGTTTTTTCGCGGAACTTACACAAGATCTAAGGTGTGATGCGTGTCACTTGGTTTAAACTTCTAATCTAAGAGTTCAAGATTCGTTCACTCACTAGATCAGAGTATACCATGTGTCACTACGTGCCAGTTCAAGATTCGTTCACTAGCACTTAAGTGTCAAACCTTTATACTTCTCAGAGTCTTAGCATCCTTGACATTCCCTTGCATTTGTGGGGGATTGTTGGGAAAATGCAAGTGTGTGGCCAGTATTTTACTGATAACTTAGTCTTGGTCCACTATTCACCACAAGGTGGTGAATGGCCAAGATTTGTTAGGCAGTATATGGTCCTAATTATTTGGCCTTTTACTATTTAAATGGGGTATTCTTGAGTTCAGACACACAAACAAACATTGTCTTGTTGTCTTTATTGTCCCCTTTCCACTCTGAGAATGTTGTGTATGTTCCAATCCCTAATCCCTGCTCCGGGTGCACGGAGATGGGGATTGCTGTGTTAACCTTCGGGGGCAACGCCGTTGTTGTGAGCCTGCACCGGTAGCGGCGAATTCGCTTCTATGGCAGTGGTTATACCACGGCACAGCAGTTATTGAGTTTTCACTTTATCAGCCTATTTCTCCATCAATTTATACCCCTCACAAATATGTCAATTATCAATGTCACCCCTGAATTATTAGTGGTGGTGTAAATGTTGTCCCTCAATTTTCAAAACGTGAAGTATATTGTCCCTTCCCTAATATGAAGAAGGAGAAAAATTGTTGTCAACGGAAAGAGAACAATTGAAGAAAGAAAAATTGAGGAAAAAAACGTGGTCTTCGAACAAGAAAAATTGAAGAAAAGATTTTCTCTCATCGTCTTAGTTTCTGAAATTTTCTCCACGCACACAGAAAGAGATTAATGGTTGTTTCTGATTTCGCCGCCGACGCCGTCCAGTAGGTCTTCACGTAATCAGCACTATGGTGACCAGATACAATTCAATGTTGTAAACCGTACCCCACGTTTTCCCATTCTCAAATTCAACATTTGAAGTGGACCAACTAATCTACTGTGTTTCCGCATTTATACATATATACATATAAAACAATCACTCAAAAAAATATTCATCAAGTAATATTAAAACAATATAGTCTTAATAGCTACAATCAAATACATATGTATTTTTTTTTAATTTAGAATTAGATATTTATAATGCATTTATTAAAAAAAAATCATTCATTACCTTCAAAATAATCCAAGAAATTGAAACATAAAACTATCTCGTAATATCTCTGGATTACATCACAATTATTCACTTTAAAGGTAAATCATATTTTTTTATTAAGATAATTTAAAATTTATTAATTTTTACTACCTTATCTAATTTTATTCCTTAAATAAAATAAAAATTTTTCTATCCACAAAAACTCATTCAACAATAATGGTTGAACCAAAAATACCTCGAAGAAAACACCTAAAGGACTTATATGCTTTTATCTAATGAGAAAAATATAATGGGAAGAACAATATATAATTTGCTTTTGTTCTACATAAAATTTTCATAAGTATAACTTCAATGTGTTAAAATAACATTTTAAAATAGTATTGTCAAAACTAATAAGGTAGCTTAAGTGGTAAATGAGATTTTTTTTATGGAGGAGAATTTTGAGATAACCCGAGTTCAATTCCCACAAGCTAGTCGGAAAAAGATCCAGACCACCTCATGGTTTACACACAAAAAAATAATATTGTCAATAAATATTTTTTATTTTTCTTTAATAATTTTAACACAACTATGATTTTAATATTAAAATTTAATGTAAAAAATCAATTTATAAAATAAGAACAAGTATCAGAGTAATAATACATCAGTACTATATATCAAATTCCAACTTCACTTCTAAAATGTATATACTATAGAAGGGAAAAAAAATTACTATATACACAAATATAACGTGAAAGTTGAACTTGAAAAACGAAATTTTAAGAAAGTAACGGAAAGTAATGGAAAGAAATATCTTTATTTGAAAAATATAATTTAAGAACGTAATTGAAAGAAATATATACAATAAAAATTAAAAACGTACACTGAAAGAAGTATCTTTATTTGAAAAACATGCCTAATTTAAGGACATAACGGAAAGAAAGTGAGAAAAATGTGACAGGAGATGAATATATATATATATATATATATATATATATAATACTCATTTCTTTCGCTCATCGCCTCTCCATAAATACTCGCTGTGAGTCCTGTGACATATTGCCTTCTTTCCTCAACTCCTCCGCCAACTTTAATTTTTCTCTCTTCTATTATCTCTTTCTCTTCTCTGCTTTCAACCATGAACCAAGAAATCGATAATATCATCCCCATGGATTTCAACAAGGCCGACCAACTTCCCGATTCCCACACCTGGCTCGACGATCACTCCCCGGTTAACTCTTCTTCAACCCACGAATCTGTTCCCCTCATCGATCTTTACGACCCGCAAGCCGTCGACAAAATCAAAATGGCCTGTGAAACTTGGGGTATTTTTCAGGTGACCAACCACGGCGTTCCCGTGGAGCTTCTTGCCCAAATTGAGCATCAGGCTCGCCGGTTCTTTGAGTTGGCTCCGGAGCAGAAGCTCCGGGCTGTGCGCTCGCCGGGCAGCCTCGCCGGATACGGCACCGTCCGGATTTCGAAGTTCTTTGACAGCCAAATGTGGTCGGAAGGATTCACCGTGGCGGGATCGCCGTTGGAGCATGCACGCCAGGTTTGGCCTCAAGATTATTCCGATTTCTGGTATGTATACTACTATACGCCCCGCTGCATGCACCTGTCATTTCATTACTGAAATACACGAAAACCAGATTTTATAAAAGAAAACATGCATACACATTTAAATATTTTAATACAAATAGCTAGGCATAATTCTTTCCTTTTTAAAAAAAATAAAATTAAGAGGCAATTTCTGCTCTATACTTTTTTAAATATGCATTTTTAACTCAAACAATCTAAGTCCCAACCACCGAAGTTCGAATATATATATATATATATATATATATATATATATATATATGTTGAAATGATGATATTTACATTGTTGCTTTGTTTGTTTTAGCTCTGTGATTGACGATTACCAAGAAAAAATGAGGGGCCTGGCTGAAAAGATAGCTGCTTTAATGTTTAAATCATTAGGCCTATCTCCTGGTGAAGATGTGGAATGGTTTGAGCCCAATGGGCTTTCCAACAGCACACAAGCATACCTACAGATGAATTGGTACCCAAAATGCCCGGACCCAACCCGCGCAATGGGCTTGGCCCAACACACAGACACATCCCTTGTAACTTTGCTATACCAAACCAGCAACATTAGAGGGCTCCAAGTGTACGGGCCTAATCTCAATTGGGTTGACGTTAAGCCCATTTCTGACGCAATCGTCGTCAACCTCGGTGACCTCATGCAAATCATCTCTAATGGACGGTTCAAAAGCGTGTTACATCGGGCCATTGTGAGCGAGGCCCATAATCGCATCTCGGTCGGTTACTTTTTCGGCTCGAGTAAGAATGTCGAAATTTCGCCGTCACTTAAATTGATCAAAGGCAGTGAGTTTCCCATGTATAAGCCCATATCATGGAATGAGTATCTTGATATTAAGAACAAGTACTTTAACAAGTCCTTGGAGATGATTGGCTTCAATTCAGACGTTGAAAAATCCAATGCCCTAGCAAGTGGTGATGAGGCACCACTCGGTAGCGAAGTGGAAGCAATAAAAGTGTAGAAATAAAAGTATAAGAAATAAAATGACAATAGTGTCATTATGTTAATTGAGGCTTAGTTTTAGCCTCATTTTGGTCTTTAAAAAAAAAATTGTGTCATTATGAATTAGAATGGATTTGTTATAAATATATTAATATTAATGGTTTTTATTAGTGTTAATATTTTATTTTTTTTAGTACTACTAACTCTGTTATATCGAGTCTCTGTGAGCAAGTCCCATCACCGCATCTCGGTCGCCTATCTCTTCGACCCAAATATGGATGTCAAAATTTCGCAACCTCTTAGATTGATCAAGGGTAGTGATTTGTTCATGTATCAGACCAATATCAAGAACCAGTACTTTAACAAGTCCTTGGAGATGATTGGCTTCAATCCAGTTGTTGAAAAATCCAATGCCCCAGCAAGTGGTGATGAGGCACCACTCGGTAGCAAAGTGTAAGCTATAGAAGTGTAGAAATAAAATGTACAAATAGTGTCATTAGGAATTAGAACGGATTTGTTATAAACATATTAATAATATTAATGGTTTCTATTAGTGTTTAGATGTTGTACACTATGACTCTATGAGTATGTTTGGTTCATGGGATTAGATACAAGAACTGAGAACAAAAGTCATACACATTATTTGATTAACATTTTTAAAATACAAGTATATATTTTGATTATCCCTATAATTAAAAAAACTCATTACTTAATTTAAATATGATATCATATCATTAATTCAGTATTATCGCTCCTCATTTCATCACCTCCTCATTTCGTCGCTTTCTCACTACATAAGATTAGTGCATTTATATTTTTGTTTTGATTTTTTGTTCATATATATTGTGCTTTAGATGCCATCATATTAGAATTAATTGCCTCAATTTTAATTTTTTTTTTTAAAAAACCTTTATTCCAATTATATGGTCATATATATAACCAAACAACAATATTAGTAATCACTTAATTCAAGTCTACTACCAATTATATCGTTATACATAACCAAAATATATTAACTTTGCAATTTTTTTCCCATCATTCATAAATGTTTCCTTTACAAATTTTCATTAAGTTAGCGTCACCAAAATTTATCAATTATAGTTATCCTTAATTAATTTATTAATGGCATCTTTGTAACTTGGGAGGTCACAAGTTTGAACCCCAATAGGGGCACTGATTCTTTGGCATACTTCGGCGGAAAGAAGAAAATTTTATTGAGGACCATGGTCCAAAACGGTGTCATTTCTTTTAATAAAAAGAAACGGCACCTATTCCGCGTAATTAATTATTTGTATAACAAAGACAGTAAGCACATTCAGATTAAGCACATTTATGCACAGATTCATATAAAGCAAAGTCAAGCACAAATTCATACCAGATAGCACGGTAAAACACACAAACAAAACAAGCACCGTCATGTAAAGCATATTCAGTCAGAGATTCAAATAGATCAAAATTAGGCACAGATTTATATAAATTAACTTCAGGCACGAATTCATAACAGTTTAGCACAATAAGTACACAAGCAAACACAGATACGGTCATGACCGGACCAACAAAAACACATTCACATAGTAATACATGAGAATACAAATATTAAACAAATTGCATCAAATTTTCATTCAAGTAACCATAGAGAATTCAAAGATTCAACACAAGAAACACCAATAAAATAACCTAAGCAAAAATAGGTTTATCAGTTCAAAAACACTCAAAACAACGCAAGTAGAACATTTACTAAACACATAGAAAACAATCAAAAACAAAACACAAAGAATTAACCCGCAGTTTAGTAAACACATAGAGTAGTAGGCAACAAAAAAGACTAATTGCGAGAAAATTAAAAAAGATAAAATAGAGAAAAAATCAATCATAGACACACTCCAAATAAAACATATATGCAGTGTGAGAGCATGTAGGAACAAAACCATTAATTCAAAAGAGAATTTCCCTGATCCTAAAACATATCCTATCACAGATGCAGAATATTACACTGGCAAAGATGAAGAATTGTCAAGATTTGATGAGTGCAAGGATATTGAAGTAGAGGGCACCAAATTAGGTAAAGGAACACATAAAAACTCAGCTTTAGACAAAGGAAAATTTACAGGTATTTCATAGGACACATTAGACAATGACACATTGACACCCTAAAATATTCTTGAAATCACAAAAGGAATTAGAGAGTAATGAACTTGTGGACCTTATCACTAAAGATGATGACAAAATTACTTTTGAAGATGGATGATCTATTGTGGATGCGTGTTGGAATGTCAATGTCGTCTTGATCAATATCAGATTCTGATTCTGGTTCTGGGTCAGGTTAAGTTGGCGTGGATGATGGCGTAGGCAACTCTGGATCTGGTTCAGGAGTTTCATAACTGTTTGCATTAGGTTCTGTCACTGACTCAGGTTGTGAAACTTCAACAATATCATTCGGTTGATCATCAATTACAACATTTGTAGACTCCATGATGGTCTTGATCACTTTGTTGTATACACGATATGCCCTGCTGTTCGTTGAATAACCGGGAAAGATCCCCTCGTCGCTTTTTGGTTCAAATTTTGCAACAGGATTTCTATCCTTCAAAATAAAACATCGTGAGCCAAAAATGAGAAAGTATTTAATATTCAGTTTCTTACCTTTTCATAACTCATACGGTGTTTGACTTGTGCCTGGCCGAAGATAGACTCGGTCTATTAGTCAATCAAGCTTTGAGAGAAGCTGCAAGAGGTAGACTATCCATATCTAGTCTTCAATTGCCTGAGTTACAATCCATGAAACACCGCATGGAAACACTCTATTATCAGTAATTGAAAAATTAAATCAGTTTTTCATGATGGGGGCACAATCTCAAGTCATGCCAACACAGTTTGGAACCAATTTTCTATGTATCGGTATCTTTTTAAAATTTCTATGCTTCTAATCTTATAGAAAGAACTTTAAATTTTTAAGTCCAAATTCAAAATAGAAAATCGTCCACTGTGAAAGGTTAGTGGTTACCGACTAGAGTTGAAAGAATTGGACTCAATTGATTTATTTAACCAGTTTAGGGTACTTAAGCTTATAAGTTTTTGGATTATACTATAACCCAATAATCCACTACCGACACCCACCTCAAATTTATTTAAATATATTTTATTTAATTGACGTTTGAATTAGTTTTTAAAATTAATGTATACTATATGAATTGAACTTCTAACCTTTCAATTAGTTTAAGACTATTAAAACTAAATATGCTAATGACAATTTGTGAATTATTTTGTATAACTATTTATTTATATAATTCATTCCTTCTTAAATAAATTATATATATATATATATATATATATATATATATATATATATCAATGTTGAAAAAATCGCTAGGCGTATGGGGACTGCCTAAGACGCCAAGGAGGGGCCAATCGTCTAGCGCCTATGCGCGATTTTTGCAACACTGAGATATATAACTTAGTCATATTATGTTTATTAAAAGTGTTAATTAATATTATTAATTGTAACTTTATATAAATATTAATATATTAATATAGTGAATATAAAGTTCATTTAGTACATAAACTATCTAAAGTTATAAATATTTTATAAAATTTATAACTTAATAATATTATAATTATAAAATAAAATCATTATATATAAATTATATTAGTGTTAAATTTAAATTAAATAAATTATAATTATATTACAAATTAAAATCTAATTATCTAAACATAAATTGAAATTTAATGATCTAAAAATACATTATATATAAGCACACGCACAAATGGTTTGTTCGAAAAATTTATTGTATTGAGTCGGTAGTGGTTTCAGTTCTTAACTAGGTTAGAGGTTTGAGTTTTAGGTTATACAAATAATTAAAAATATTTAATTAATTTATCAAATCTGGGAGGATGCTTTACATCGGCGAACAACTGATCACCTACGCGGTTTAGACTGAACAAATTGGTTTGAAACCAATCTTCGAGCAGATGCCAGCCGTGGTTTTCCAGAAGGATGGCCGGAGCAGTTTGCATGTCGGATTTGGTGGCTGTGCCGATGGAAAAATGACGAATTGTTCAATGGGACCATTTTGCCCGTCGAACAAAAGATCTCTTGGCTGCGCAGATACGACAATGAGGTAGCGGGGGCTTTTGGGAGAAACTGGCGTCCGCTAAACAGGGCGCCTTGCGTTGCAGTTGCACAGCTGGCTTGGAAGAGGCCGACGGCAGGCTGGTGGAAGCTGAATGTTGATGGCTGCTGCAGACAAAGCGGTGTGGCGAGCTGTGGGGGAGTGCTGCGAGATAAGGACGGCAGGTGGTGCCGCGAGGCTTCTCATACAAGATTGGGAGATGCTCCATTGAAGCTGCGGAGGCATGGGGAGTGTTAAAGGGGCTGCAAATGGCCAGGAATTTTGGCGCCATGAGGATTATCCTTGAGTGCGATTCTAAGGGTGTGGTAGAGAGCCTGCGAAAGAAGGTTGATTGGAAGACCCATTGCCAAAACATTGGAAAGCTGTGCGCACGAGAGGCGGCTTGCTTGGAGGAGATCCGGTACGAGCAAATCTACAGAGAACAGAACAAGGTGGCAGACAAGCTTGCGTCCCTGGGAGGTCCAAGTGAGAGAGGCATCCGTATGTTTGCAGAACCCCCGCCGGAGGTACTGGAGTTGGTGGACATGGATCGGATTGGAGCTTCAACTCCAAGGAGAATTGTTCAGGCGACTCGTTAGGGTGGCTTGTTGTTTTGTTTGGGTATCCCCCTCCATTCGGATATAAAAAAAAAAAAAATCAATAGGAATTGGGCTTCCAAGATGGCCCGTTTGGGCTAAAAATCCGAACCTGCATTTGAAACAGGCAAGGTCGCAAATTATGCTGTGGACTCGTGTCCACAATGCATTGTGGACACGAGTCCAAAACGATGTCGTTTTCAGGAAAAGCACGGCTATTCAGTTAAAAAAAAATTGATTTTGTCTCGCCGTTAACGGCGTTAACAACGGTATTCGTTTGTGACATTATGAATGTACAGTTATGGAATTATGAATGTAAGTTATGGAATTATGAATGTAAGTTATGGAATTATGAACACAGAGCTCTGACATTATGAACATATAGTGATAAAATTATGAACATAGAGCTTCGAAAATTATGAATGTATAGTTACGGAATTATGAATGTACAGTTACGGAATTATGAATGTACAGTTATGAAAGTATGAATGTACAGTCATGGAATTATGAACACAGAGCTCTGAC